CACCTCTAGTAATATATTTACTGAGAAAAATGGTGACGTGTCCAATACTTATTTTACCCGCTGTATATAGTAATGCACATATACCAATGCACATATACACATATACATAAACACATATGCATATTTATATACATTTAAACACTGTAAAGTACAGTACAAAGATGAATGTATATGAAGGTGAATATATGTATTATACAGTCTAACTGCAGTTGGAATGAATGACCTACAGAAGCGCTTCATCCTGCAGCGAGGATGTTTAAGTCTCTGACTGAAGGAGCTGCTCAGCCCMYMCAYGGTTTCATGCAGAGGGTGGTGGGGGTTGTCCATGATGGCTGTCAGCTTTGCCAACATCCTCTTCTCACCCACCAGTACCACAGGCTCCAGAGGACATCCCAGCGCAGAGCTTGACCTCATATCAATTTGTCCATCTTGTTCATGTCCCTTTCAGTGCATCCAGACCCCCAGCAAACCACTCCATAGAAAAGGGAAGATGCTACCACCGTGTCGTAAAATGTCTTTAACAGAGTCCCGCAGACACCGAAGGACCTCAGCCTCCTCAGTAGGTGGAGTCGACTCTGGCCCTTCTTATACAAGACGTCTGTGTCTAAGCATTTTAAAAAGACATAAAAGTCACAAAAACTAGAAGTCACGGCTCTCATTTCCTGAATGAGCTGAATATTGTGACGTGTTTCTAACATTGAACTTCTGCACACTTTCAAGAAACTGCAGGAGTTCAGCTGAGGCAACAGATAGGACCAGCTAAAGAAATGCGCCAGGAACAACGTCCTCACCTAATCTCAGCAGGGTGGGTGAGCCGAGTGATCTGCTAACAGTACAACCTGGGGTTAGCTTATTAAGTGTGCGTGAGCATCTCATCAGAAACCTGAAGAACCACCAGCAAGGAAATATGACTCCAAACATGAATCAGTTGTAGACATACAACCGATGATTACTTTCTGKGAGTTTCATTGAAATCCATCTGCTGGTTTGTGAGATATTTTGCTAACAAAAATACAAAAGCATCATCCATCACCTTTCACCTAATAATAAAGGAGACCTGGACGCCCTGAACGGTAGTGAGTGTGATTAAATAACACTTCTGAGTGAGGAGAGTGGGAAATTCTTCAATAAAACATGAAGAAAGCCAGAAGTCCGTCTAGATGGCTGCTTTCCACAAACGACCTTTAGAGGAAACGTTTAAGCAATCAGTTGGGAGTTTGAAGTTGAAAAAAAAAATTAATATTTCCTGTATTTTTTTTTTACATGCCAACTTTTTTTTTCCTGTTTAATGGAAAGGAAAATCGTCATCTCATAATCAGACTTTTCAGTCAGATTTTCCATTTTTTGTTCGTTGATCCTGCAAACTACAATCACATTAAACTTCAAACCATCTGATGTGTGGATGACTATCAGCTACTACCACATCAGATTTTACCTCCACTTCTATAAAGAGTTGTAGACATTTTTGTGTTCGCTAAGGTTAGCTTAGCTAAGCCATTTTGAATTGAGTTTAACTCCTAAATATCAGTCATAGATAAACGTGATCACTTTCTGGGAGTTTCATTAAAATCCATTCACAATCTAAGATATTTTATTAATAATACCGATTAACACACACAGACATAAAATGACTACTCTGTCTTCATCTTTAGTGACTGAATATCGCCTTGTACTAAACACACACCATTCTGTGTGTGTCGTCCATCACAGTGTATGGCAGGTTTCTGTTTTTTATGGGCCCATTATAATCGTTAAGGTTTTCCTGCGCGCCAGAACTGCAGGGCGACTGTTGATTTAGGCGAAGTTCCTRACATGGAGGGCCTCTGAGCTGCGAGCCATCACACCGTTCTCCCAAAACCTCTGAGGAAGGAAAAGAAAAAGAGAGGGAAAGTGATTCATAAAACCACTTCAACGCTTGACATGCGCATTCGTTAAAACGACTCCGTGGCCCATCAGAGCCATCACTTACCTTAAGAAACACACAAAACGATCCTGGTCCCGTGGGCCGGTTTTTATTCGTGTTTCCTGACGAGGCTCGGTCTGAAGAACTGAACCAAAAAGAAAACACGACCTTTTAAAATTTTACGGTTGAACGATGCTGAGTGAACATAATTTCACAGGGTTGTCGAAAAGCATTTAACACTATAAAGATTGATAAACTGAGAATATTTCTTTTCTGTAATCTCACGTCTGAGCAGAGGTGGATTTAGTTTCTTTGAGGTCCGTTAGGAAAATGTATTTTCAGAAAAATAATTATAGTATAAATGTTTATTGAATCAACACAATGCAAAATAACTGCCACAAATAACTTAAATAAAACAACAAACACATAAAAATGGCTAAAACTCAGTTGTAAAGCAGTCTTCTGTACAGTTTTCCACACATATCTTGGTCTGCAAATTTTGTGCGATTTCAACAGTTTATATTCATAATTATAATTTATACATCAAAACATTCAGCTCCTTCAGGACAGTCCGACTGACTTTGAATGTATCAGCAAATTATACTTTTTTTTAAAGATTTGTAGCCTTTTAAGCCATTTTTTTAATGGAAAAGGAATGGCACTGTTTTAAACATCTTTATACTCTTCAAAATGTTTAAATATTTACTGTACTTTTTACATTTTGCTCTTGTTCAGCTTTTTTAACTTCTTTGTGGTAATTTTAGCTTCCTTGGCCTCTGTTTTGCTAATATAGCTTTGGTCTGTTTTTAGCTGTCAAACTGACCTTTTCTGCTATTTGTCTGCTAATTTCAACTTTTTTGTGTGCTTCTTTCATCTTCTACTGCTAATTTCAGCTGCTTCTCTTATTTGAGCTTTTTTTCAGCAAAATTCAACATTTTATGATAATTTCAGCTCTTTACAGCTTAATTCAGCAAACATGATCTTTCAGTATCTGTGATAATTTCAGTGACTTCGGCTACTTTTTAAAGCTATTTTATGCTTGTTTCAGCTTTTTAAAATCAATTTCAAAACTAATTTAAACTTTATTTAATTAGAAGATTTCCACTCTCTTTTCCACATCTGTTAATTTTGACTTGTTTCTGATGCTTAGTTTTGCCTTTTACTAATTTGAGCTACTTTTAGCCTTGTTAAGCATTTTCAGCCAATTTTTTACTAATTGAATCTGTTCTGTTCTCAATTCAGTTCTTTTGCCTTCAACTTAATCAAGTAGATAAAAATAAAGATATTCAGTGGGGTAGTAGCCGAGTGTGTTCCCCACCACATGTCAAGATGGCTGTCAAATTTCTCAAGTTTTACAGATAATAATCTAAAACTTGGTGTAGTTGTAACTTCAACTTATTCCCACTGATCTTTGCAAATAATTGTTGTAAACAACCCTATTCTTCTGTTAGCAAAATATCTGATGATGGATTTTACTGAAAAGGGATTTTAATGAAACATTCAGAAGAAAATCATTGGGTATACTTCTAAAACTCATTTCATTTTGGCATTAACTTAATCAAAAATGGTTTCTTAAAAAACTGAAAAATTGGTACAGTTCAGTAATTCTTACAGATGCTGTCGCAGAGGCAGATGTTTGCAAATATCTGAAACAATGAAAAGCTTATTTATTTATTTA